CTGCTTGTTCCATGTTGGTCAGAACGGAAACCACCAAAAGGCGGACTTCACTTCGAGATTCCCCATTAAAACGAAGTCACGCTCTTCGAAAATTTATTCGAAGGATGCTTGTTGTTGCTGGTTTATAACCCATATTTTTATTGCCTGTGCATTGGTACCTTTCTTACTCCAGCGTGAGATTTCTACAGTATTGCTTTTCTGCCAAGGGCAATAAAGTGAACTTTGAGATTTCGGTTCAGTGAGGCATGGCCATTGTGCTATTTTCCTCCTCTTGGTAACTGACTAACTGGTTTGTGAAAGGTGCATATTGTTTTTTTTTCAGGGTGAGGTAAAATAATTTGATAGTAGTAGACTAAATACATTCGTTTGTGAATCAAGTCGGTGTTGACCGCAACTAAAATGAATCCTGTAGGTTGTGAACCTGTAGGTCGTGATATTCATCAACGGTATGTGCCGCACAAGGATCGTCTCAGATTGCAGTCTGTGCGACATTCATTTCATCGCGTTAGATTTGCTACTCATAAGGTCGGATTGCTGAGAACTCTTCACCAGTTCACACCAATCTCGCCCGCCTCATAGCTCATCTGATAAGGACAGTCCTCGAGTATCTGACAAAATTGCTTCACTTGAGTATGAAATTGTACACAACCAGCGAAACACATTACTGGTGAATTAACATGGTAGTAACAGAATGCCAGCTGAATTCGGAGTCAGCTAGGACTCTCGTCATAATACCAGTTTATTTCACAAAAGGATACGTATAGCTAATTGCTTAAAGTGTGGTGTTTGAGCGGAACACGAAGTTGACGGAAGCTTGGGTTCTGTGCCTACGTGACGACCCACAAGAACGGTAGAACCGGTTATGGGCTATTAGGAGCTATCAATAACCATATCAGTGAAGTGTTGGTTGAAATTATTGGCATAAAATTATTTTGTCTGATCCAGATATGTCCAGATATGTCTTTCTCACTCTCTCTTTATCTGTATCAGCCGTTGTTCGAGTGATCTCTAGACATTTTCCGATGTGAAATCCTTGTTGACGTCTTATCGATAGGAATGAAATTTTTGCATATGGTTCGATACAATTCAAGTGCCTTCCGGATGCTCAAAGGGTAGATTTTTTCTGAAGAAGAAATTTCTTAGACTCGACTGACTAGATTACGGCTACATTTATCTTTGATTTTATCCTCTCGTGCGTCCGTCCTCAAGCAGGCTACGTTAAGTTCATTACAGTTCCGTTTGTCAGCCATAAATCGTCCACAGATTCACTCTGGTTTAACTTGCTAGTTTCGTTCACCGCTGATTGGAAAAATGGTCAGTGGATAACTGCGCGATGTAGATGCATTATCCCACGGTTCCATCAGCTTGTTTGTTGACGAGGCGTTTGCAGTAAAATTGTCCAGCTCAGCGGATAGACCGATGACCAACCATTGAGTTTGAATCAGTCAACTTATCCAATGGGTTGAGGACTTCGACATCTGCACGTGTGTGATTGAGTCACGTTCATACATGTCAGCAACCACAGCTGGACCTTGACCGACGTATGGCAACGCAGTTGAAATTACAAATTATACGTACGTTCATACGTAGACTTTATGTAGATCACTTCACATTGTTGTTAACCTCCATATGGTTTGATGAAGCGCTTTTCATAAGACAGGCGACCCATTCCGTGTGCAGTGAGTAACTATACAAATGTCTGCCTGCTCTCCTATGGGCTTTTCTTCTCCCAAACCTACTTTCGTTGTCACCGAAGTTCGCTCATCCACATACGCAACCAGTGCTCTGGTACCATCAGATGAAGCTGATGCATAACGTACATAATGGGTGTGGTAATGCCTGGACAACCTAATTTGCATTGTTAAGAAGCTGGTTACTGCCTCGCCTCAGCTGTCTCTGGTTTCTCATACCCGAGGACACACTCGTTTCGACTAATACCAGGTTAACCAGGCGTAGTATTCTCTAGAGATTCACTAGCGCATTTTCGATTGCAGCCTCTGTTTGACTTGCTCAAGCAAGTCGAAATTATGAAAGGAGGTACTATACAGGTTCCGCGATTCAACCACACAAAATACTAGTGTAAAGTGAGCATTAGCAACAGGCCGGGAAATATGAGTCTTGTTGGCGTTTCTTAGCCATTTGTGTTTGGTGTAGAACAACGCTTGCGAGCAGTGACTGAGGTCTTCGGCCCGCAAAATCATTAGGTCAATGCTAACCTAGTGTTCGGGTGAATATCTGGGTATTCCGAAGTGGGTGTTTGTGCCTCGCTTGCTGAGCCTGTGATGATTTCCGTGCAATCGCACCGTTAATCAGAATCCCAATACTGTCGTCAGAAGGCATGATCGCAAACCACACTATAGAACTAACATTACGCCAACCGTTCTTTGGCGTACGGAACACGACACTCCATTGTGCTGCTCAGTAACAGACTTGTGCACATTGTGACGCCAAGAATATGGACAACTGAGGCTTGCTGTGTAATTCTGCTTACCTTTCTCAGAATAGTACCGTGAACATTCGACTCTGATTCTTTCTTTTGATGTCCTGGATTGTCGAACCTAATCGCCCCTCAAAGTTACGTATCGTGAACCTCAACACTCATAAATATCGCTCCAAATGAACTATGATATGGCCACCGTTTGACACATTCAGCTGACTAAGCAGCCAGAATCTGTGCGGAACAAGCAGCGCCTTGCAACCAGAAAGTTCGATCGACCCGCATTTGTACACGCTGTCAACTGTTGTTTGAAACACAAAGTTAAAAATACATTTATATGTATCGCTTCTGGCGGTTAAAGACTGAGGAAACTAGTTCATTGACGTGGTCTTGGGTTAAGGCCCGCTTACTAGGCACTGAGTGGTCCGTATGACGCGGCTCACACACCTTCAACCCTTTGTATTTCTGAAAGGCTTTATTTCAACTAGTAAGTCCCACGTACATCACTAGGGATAGTAATGCTACAATTTATACGAGTAGATGAATGGTTTTGTGAGTAGCAGCAACATTTAGCGAGATCATGCCAACGCCACTCTTATATGAACAGTTATCCCAATCCCCTTTGAATTTTCTGCAGTCTGACCTACACATGTCAGTGGCAACATACGAGATTGTCCTTTTAATGCGTCACTTTAACAATATGAGTTCTAGACCGTACAGGAATTTGGTCGTCCGAAACACGCAGCATGAATGCGCATGCCGGACACGTCTCTTGTTGAAAATGGACAGGCTCTAGTTGTGAGCTTGCTGGACCTCTCAGATGACTAGCATTATTCGAATTTCTCGACCGACAAAATGCGTTTAGTATAATATTGTTTGTTTGAGATCAATAGTCCCTTGCCGCATTGGTATAGACAGGTACCATCCTCCTGAATGCTTGAAAATTCGCCTCAGAAATGGAAGTCTCGTTGAAATCCTGGGTAGATACTAAACCATTCGTAGCACTGCCATGAAATTTCGAAAAGCATAGATTATCCAACATCCGGTTTCTAAGCATCAGGCCTCCAAATTAGTCATCAGGAAATTACTAATGTATATTCAACTCAAGAAGAGTATGCTAAGGAACCCGGTTCTCATTGATACCCAATCACAAGGACTTATTTTCCCCTAGGGGATTCTTCGTCGTGTTTACAAACAGAAATAGTTTATTCCTAAATCTCAATGAAGCCGTCTTTTGTCAGTTTGCTTCCAGTTGAGTCCGTAGGTTCGCACACATCAAACAAATGTAGCTTTTCACTCGTTTTCATTGGATAACTAATCAACAGCACATAAGATTTTCCAGGTGACTGTGCGAAATGCTATTCTTCCAGCCCACCTTACTAGTGATTTCGTTGTTTCCATAGTGTGTAGACACTCGTAGTGTTGGTTCGCGTAACCATGGTTACCGTTATGGGTGTGTACAACTTAGTTTACATCGGTTTCGATCGATTCACCATGATCAAAGGAAAACTAGATGTGTCGTATGGGGGAAGTTTCTGCCATAGACATTTCCGTGAGACATCCCACATGTTATCACTGCTTTGGCAAGTGAGTCAGCGCCAATGCGAAAGAAGAAAGAAATTTTCCGCAAAGACTACTTGTACTATAAGATACCGAGACATGAAATATCAGTTGTGGCTTTTCACAACTAATCGATTTGTCAAAACAAATTAGTGTAAACATACTACTCTACAAAAAAGACGACCTCACAGGGATGAGGAAGTAGTCAACGACCGATCAAATCGCTTCGGAGTAACCTCCACTTGAATCTCAGGCCAAATTGTACAGGACAAATCACGGAAAGGTATGGTAATCAGTGGAAATATCTTTCGACTTCTTAGAGCTTAACGTAGATATCGAAGCAACCTGCATAATCATCATCAGCTGTGAGAACCGCGTACTTGTCTTACAGTGGTTATAGCTGCCACAGGTTCGTTCACCGATGAATGGAGGAGGTGGGGTAGGTAGCTACGCATTGGAGGCGGAAGCTGATAAGTTGGTGCGTAAATACAGCATTGTCGGTGGACTGACAAATCGAGGAGTTGGGAAGGGAGCTATGGATTGTAGGCAATAGCTTGGATGCACGAGCGCCACTGAGACGCAACTGGGCCATATCTGGCAATGTCCCTAATCATTGATGTGGCCCGTCTCGAGGTCCCGATCCGGGAAGACGGCAATGACCAGCGGAGTTGAGTTTGTTCGTAATGAGTTTTATACTTTGCTTCCAAGTCATTGACCGCCTCCGGCTCGTTTCCACCCTTCACGTGGTTGTGCGAAAAGAACTCTCAAAGGAAGTCGGTCGACTGGCGTACGCAGCATGTGGCCAAACCAGTGCAACCTACGTAGTGATCACTTCATCTGCTGGAAGTGAGTTATTTCCTCCGAATACCATTAGACGTACTTCGATATTGCCTATCCAGTGCTTACACCACACTCAGGTAATGCTCCGAAGACATCGATTGTCGGACACTGAAAGACTTTTGACGTCCTCAGCGCGCAGCGGCCAGGTATCTGATCCATACAGTTAATTGGAGCGCACCGCAGCATTGTAAACCCGACCCTCGACGGAGGAGCTAATGTCACGCCTACGCCACAGGTGACGCAGGTTCACCAAAGCTGCTCTGGCCTTCCCAATCCGGATGAAAACATCATCTCTGGCGACACCACCGGGACTGATACAACTGCCCAGGTAAACAAATTTGTCTAATACCTCTGTCTTCTGACATCCAGAGTACACATCCTAAATAACGTAACTTACGAAGCGTGAGTAGTTAATACATCACGGTAGTGTTCCTCCTGCCAAAAACCATCTGGCGTACCTCAGCAGTGCTAACCAGATGTTCTCATTAGATCCAATCAACAATTTGGAGATACGGGCGGTCAAACACTGACATCCTTCGTATGTCCCCGAGTGTACAGGCCACGATTTTGATCTGTAAAGTGGTATGGATCACATTGGGGCGAGATGGCCCAAGTGGTTAGAGTGCGAATCTACTGACCGGAAGGTCCGTGGTTCGAATCCGACCTCCGCCACTCGACTTCCCCTGTCTAGGCTGGGGCAACCTGGCAGTATCCCAGCCCTCGTGCTTCCTTCGGGTGGCATGGCAGCTAGGCACCGGAAGGGTGCTACAGCTGAACGCTTATTATTATCTTATCTATGGATCACACTTCCACAGTACAAGCTCTGCCGTTCAGAGACAGACTGATGTTAAGCTGTCCTGGGCTTCCCGATCCAAGAAACCTCATCTTCAGGTAGTCCACCAGAATCTACAAAACTGCCCAGGTAAAATGTACCTACCGCGTCGAATGTCTCGTCAGTATGAGGTTTGTGTTTTACCCCACTTAGTCTTGTAGCAGCATTTTACACTTTTCAGAGGTGAAGCGAATAACAAACCGCGTGGCATAATTACCTAAGTTATTTTAAAAGGTCTGATTGTCTGAAGGGTCCAAACCAAGGATAGCAATATCGTCTGCAAACTCTGTGTCCGTGAGGGAACGTCCCAGGGGCAATTCGATCCCCGAAACTCTAGAGTCAGGCAGAGTTTCGAGCAGCACATCAGTAACTCCTAAAGATTCGCCGGATAACCCTGAAACGAGTCAAAGAAGGACACGAGCGATCTTTTCACGCGCGAATTACGGACACCTCACCCGCCGCTTCAGCCTGTGGTCCATCATAAATGTCAGAATGAAATAGAGGAATTCATATGAGCATGCAACCCAAATGCCTTGTTTATTGATATACTAATTGCGCGATAGAGGCTCCATTTCGTCTTCATCATTTAGTTAAGCTCGAGTAGTCCATGAAATTACACATAATGACAAGTGTAGACGAGAGGTCACTTCAAACACACGTAAGTTTATCACAGACCATGTTCGTCAGCATGACCAAAATCATTGATAATTCTTGACTCCCATGCCCCAGACGATGGGTTTGAGTCCCAGTCGGGACTTTGTAACAGAAAGGTGACAGCAAAACAAGCTAAATTCCTCATGTTGACGAACAATCAACTAGTTCCCCATCTCAATTCAAGAGCGCGAATTTACTGTCCGGAAGGTCCATGTTTCGAACTCGACTTCTCCTGTTAAGGCTTGGGCATCCCTCGTGCAACCTTCGTGTGGCAGTACAGTTAGGCACCGAAAGAGTGATACAGTTGAACGATTTTTTTACGTCCTTCGTATTTCAAAAGCCATCAGTGGTACAGAGAAAGCCGTTTCACTTTATTTTCAGCACGCATGAGTAGCGCCGCACCGACAGAATCCCGAGAGAGAGAGGCACTCGAATAAGCAAACTTGCGAAAAACAATCGAAAACTCCCCCCAACTAAACTGAGTAGTGAGGCATTCGCGTCACCCGAAAAAACGACACGCATTAAGACGGGAGTGTTTATCAGGAATTATCATAATCAGAAAGGTGATTAATCCCAATAAAACTTCGGTATAAAAGTCTACCGGAAAGTGAAAACAAACAGATGCAATGAAGTGAAGATAGAAAATGCGGAAAACATATAGGTATGATGGTGTTCATCTGTTTGTTTCGAAACGTGTAGCTGTTGTTCACTAGCCATCCAACGTAACTGATACGGAAAAACCAATGGGTTAATGATATGTATCTGTGGGAGTAACTTGCTGTATCCAGTTATGGATTTCGACGCATTCGCCTTGCAGCCTGGAATGAATAAAATGGGTGGAATATACGGAAAAGGAGTTAACTCAAATACAGCTAACGCTTTATGCTCTACGAATGCAAGTAATTTCGCTAGTAGAATGGTGACAATGCTCGTACTTGGGACTAGTGGTCCGGGAAATAGGTGGATGTTTTGATGCGCAGAACAATGTCGTAAGAATTATAGTTCAAAACCCCGGAGTGGGTGGAATGTGACGCCGTCAAACCACTATTCCCTCTTCTATTATTCCGGAAAAGCATTGCGGCCTATCCAGAACTGCACAAATCTGATGGAATCAGATGGGTGAATCAGAGGGAATGATCGTAGTGGTAATAACGCGCCTGAGTGCGCTTCGGTAGTGTATGAAAGCAGGTCTGTCAGCTTCCAAAAGATACTGCGGAGCCGTCAGATGTTTATATACGTCGGTTCGAGCGCAGTGAAATTCTCGTCAACTGATTAACAATAAATCTTCCGAAATCCATAGCCTGCAGAATGCAATGCTACAGAGTCACGAGGACTTTTATCATGGATTTCTATACTGATGGTTGAGAACGCTTGAGTTTATCAGTCGAGATAGCAGCTACGATGTTCTGAATGAGAGCATGTCATGAAATCAGTGTGAAAAACATCAAATAATAAACACGTTTTAGAAGGACTAAATAAAACGTACCTGCACAGGGGGGTGTGTTTGAGTAGTCGCTGAAGGCTGTAATATGAAACAACGACATTTACGAGAGAAATTCAAGGTTTGCGCGTGCGAATCAAATGAGGCAGAAGCTGTATGGGGGGAGGGTATCAACCCTAATTGATAACTGGACGCTTAATACTCTCAGGTGATTCCAGACACTTCCACAAACAGCGCATCTCCACTCACAACGTATTCATGATGTCACCTCGACGGGTAACCAAGCATTTTCAGTTACTCCCCAGCTCAGAGAACGAATCAAAGACCAAGTACCTATATGAATTCAATCGATAAACAGCTTCGATAAAGCGAACAAACCAAGGGACACGCCTGAGGGTAACCAGATACTTAGAGGGAGAGAGACAGTAATTTGTGGTTCAATAACTGTTATGAGTGTATGAGGCTACTCGGATGACCAAAAACTCATGATCACCATTGTAAACCAGGTGCATGAAAATGACGGGCGTCACTAGAAGAAACAACTTACATCTTCAACTTTTCTTTTGCTAGGCGATGTTGAGGTATCCAGCCGTTTGGATTTCTTCTTGGAGGCTTTCTCGCCCGAATCACCGGTTCGCCTCATGGGGCGAGCAGCTTGAATTGTGGACTTTTGGGGTGAATAGGACGAAAAAAGCTAGTGATTCATTTCAGCTTCGAGTCGAAGAACGGAAGGATGCAACCCGAACAGGATGCTGACATGAAAATACGGGGAAGCAAACGAACGAGTCGAAAAAACCTGGTTTCGTTCTAAACGGATTGCGTCCAATGTAAATCCTTAGAATCCAATACTCATTAGTTCCCAGCCTGGTCATGAATCCAGTTAATTGAGAAAGAGGGAAAATCCACGGCGGACCGAATGGGGACAGCAAAATAGCAAACGAAACCTACCGAATTCACGGTCCAAATCGAAGTATCCAGAGCACTGTGTGATGACATAAACTTTGGCTGCTGTCCCGGCGAAGGCATCACAGCGGCAGAGCCGTGAAGGGTTTCCGTAGCCACACTAGAATGATGAGGACTTGGTAGCCTACGCCAATCACCAATGTCCTCCTGCACTGGTATCCCATTTCGATACGAACGGCTCGTGGGTAGGAAGGTCCTAGTGTTGGAATCTTCAGTTCGAATGGATGACTGTTCTTCCACAGTGTTTGAAGGACTTTGCAACCGTCCGACGGGAGGTGGTTGCTCATAGGACAAAAGCTGTGATGGATTTGAGGAATAGGTAAAAGTGAATTTGAAGAACAAAGGGTGTAAAGCTAAGAAACTATCAAAATAGTCATTTTAACCTAGCCAGGCCCAACCTTGAGATAAAAAAGGGAAAATCTGAGCTGGCTAGAGACACTTCAAATGCACTGGTGCTCCATCGCAACTTTGAACGCATTTTTATGGAAAAAACGGAATTTTCAGTGAGTGGCGACTGATCACTCACATCCTAAGTTTATTGAAATGGAACACTCACACTGTACTGGTACAGTTCGGTGCTTCATCTCAACATTCGACCAACCAGATGAGAGTAACGCTGAGAAGATTAAAGAGAAAATACTATGGACGGGACTACTAGTCATTATGGATGGCCTGACAGATGGAAACTGATCAGTGACTTACGGAAACCGTGTCTGGTGACCGTGGATCGTAGCTGCTCAATTTTCCAACATTGGGAGATAACATATCACCCGTTAAAGCAGACGTTGGTGCTGTCTGGATGTAACGATACTCTGTACGGCCCGGATGATGTGATCGTGAATGGGAAACCGATGGTGTCGCAGAGACCAAAGGTTGGCGAAAAGTAAGGGTAGGTCGTGCGGCTGGTTCCGGTTCGCTAACACCAGACCGGGTGCGTTCCTCACCCGAAGACGCCATGGAACGGGAAGGATTGGAATATGAGCGACTACCAGACGTGCGCAGGTCATTAAGATGGTAGCGACATGTCCAATCGTTGACTGTAGGCCACTCCCAGGCGGCTACGGAAAGGAGTCCCGTGGTAGACCTAGAAGGGTGAAATAGATCATCAATTGTCTTGATTAGTATTTTGTCTCTCAACCGAATCACAAAACAAACAAAGAACACTCATGTCCCATCATGTTTGGATAAAAAAGTAGTGCGAAGATTACGACGAGGCAGCAGAGATTGTGGGCATCTTGACAGTATCATCCGACGGCGACTAAAACGGAAGGTACACAGGCTCGCCAAGTTTCGCCGGGACAAGAATGCAAGATGGGTGATAAAGGCAGTGAAAAATGCGTGTCGGGCATTTCAGGCATGTCAGTAATGGGGACGCTTACAAACAGCATGCTGATTTTTAAGCACGGTGATTGAGAGGTTGAAACGAAACTCCATGAGGAATTCCAGGTCTCAAACGTCGTACCGGAAATAAGAAGCCGTTGGGTAGTGTCCACAAAAGTCGACAAAAACCACCCGTGACAGGAATGGAAAACGCACGTCCTTAATTGATACGAAATCCGAGAACTCTCACCGGCTCCTTGCAGACACTACTGCAAAGGATCCACACTATTTTTATTCTCCTCTGCGCTCGGCTAAACTGTCGACACCGTCCGAGCCTCTGATGCGGTATTCGAGATGTAGCTGGATGTATTCGAACAGACCGACGGGAACCACCTTCAAACCCGAGGCACAGGGTAGTACCCTAAACTAATGGTGTGAGAGGCTGCAAAAACAGTCGTCCAAGAATCCCAGCTCACTGAACAGCGTAGTTCTCTACAAGCATGTGGTGTTGTTTGGCATAAAACCAAATGGATGGTACAACGCCCGCCTACTGCTATGGTAAGGTGGGATTAGGAACAACCCATCTGCGTCCCAAAAAGTCACCCGGGAGCCACTGAAGTAGTAGAAATGTCGATATATGACATCTATGACGCAACGCTTAAGCGCCTTCGCATCCCAGCTCCCCTGTGCTTACGAAAGATTTGATAAACAAAAAAGTTTCAACCCAAACCCGTGCTAGGCGTTAGGTGATGTGTCCCAAATAAATGCAGTTGGGTGGTCTGGGAGTGCCAAATCGTTCGCACACCATCGATGTATAGCGACCAAACAATTCGAAAGAGGCACGAAGGCTGCGCAACTACCGCGTCGCCCAAGGCTAGACAAGAGCAGTCGGAAAGCCAGCATTTAGTTCATGATATTGACCTAAAGCTGTCATCTTGACGTGGTGGTCAGGCTTAGGTGCTGCAGTGATTCCCGGTTTACACTGGTTGGAACTTCATTCCACGATGTGCAACCAGGCCAGGAAGGTCAAACGGAATCAGTCAGGCCAAGAGCAGCAAGACCTAGTACTGCGATTAATCGTAGTACAAAGCGATCTGGGAAAGTTATACTGTCCTCTGCGATAGAAGTGCGAAGTTATTAAGGCGACCAGCATGTCCATATTCATCGAAGCAGCGATGCTGCCTTCCTCCGAGGAAGGACGAGTCAGAAAAGATCGACCCTAAAATGCACACTCCGATCGCCCAACGGTTGAGCCAGGTGAACAGTTCAGACCACTGAGTCATCGGTTTTGCCCTCTGCCTCGCCGGTCTTACTTTTGAGTAAGAGGCTCAAGAAGGAGACGGGTGTCAGTCACTTGGACAGAATGTTGATTCTGGTCTCTGGAATTCAAGCTACAAAACTTTGTGCTGTGATGCACTTGACTTCTGCGATGAATTGTTTTTGCAAGGAATGGGTGTGACATAGCATACGAAGGGTTTGTGATTCGGTAGTGGTTGCTTCTAGCGCACCTTGATGAAGCTGGAGATGGAAATAACGCACAAGACAATGAGCAGATGAGAATGCTGTGGCCCACACAGGTTAGTTCGGCAAATTGTGAATTATCCTGTATGTCCCGGATCAAGAAGATAACACCAGGCCATGAGAATTCGTTACTTGAACCAGTTGGCACTAGCTTATGTGATTTGAAAAGGAGTGAGCTTCAAACAACAAGCAGGGATTGTAAGATACGAACTTATTCTGAATTCTAACAAAGGATCAGTCTTTCAACATGATTTGATCACTTTTTGAAGGGTGAAGTTTACAAATGGAACCCAGTTCAGTGTACTACTCGACAAGTATCGGACGATTTTCTAGACAAGATAAGCTGCGATGATGCCCAGGTGAGATCGTTACTCAACAGCTGCAAGTACCCTAGTAAGCACGAGATGAGCTCCATACTTATCCCGTGTTATTAAATGCTAACACCCCTCCTTCCAACCTCAACCCGATCCCCCTCCAAAAAAAGAAGTGCTGTGAAAAAACTTACATGAAGCATTTAGCCATAAAATACGACGATGAACGGACCAGACCATCCCGAACACACTCACCGCTTTGGGTAAACAAACCAGCACAGGACAACTAGAGTCAGGAAACAGCCCGGGAACGACACAGCGGTTAAACCATAGGACCACGACAAAGTACACTGATCTAGGCCTTGCAACCAGTTGCGCTCCAACACAGGCACCCGTTTGCTCTCGTCGTCCACGCCGACACCCATTGTGATGAGACTGATGAGAATGCACAAGCCTAATTTGTAGATGAACAGAGAAGGGAACATGGTGGCGTGTTTCAAAGCTTCATGACCGAAAGATAAACGAGAGCATAATGACGGCAAGGAAGCTGACTTACAGTTGGTAGGACGAATAACATACGGCAGTGGTAGGAAAGGGAGAAGCACGGGACCCACTGTAATGAAATTTTCGCTTGACGTGTTTCAAAGCTTCATGACCGAAAGATAAACGAGAGCAAAATGACGGCAAGGAAGCTGACTTACAGTTGGTAGGACGAATAACATACGGCAGTGGTAGGAAAGGGAGAAGCACGGGACACACTGAAATTTAATTTTCGCTTGTTCAGAATACCAAATAGTTCCATCCGTGCAATATGATCACACGGCAGAATTGTTGTTACAGTAAACCAATAAAGTCCCCAGGAATCCCCAGCAGTCCATTTCTTGTAATCGTGTTTGTTTCGTAAACGTTGTTACGGTTAATGATACAGCAAAACCGAAATACATTTTTTTTTAAATCAACTGTACATTAGCATGTTAGAGCGACTGGGGGCAAGAAGCTTCAATATGCATGCGCATCCTGTAGCGGTTGGAACGATCGAGAATAAGAACAAGCTTTTACGGTTCCCATATTCAGCTTATTACAGCAGTACTCATTCTACTCTCCTTCTACTCTGCTTACATCCATTGTTCGTGGGCAATGCGAGCACAGTACAGCCCGCTTGTTTTGCACGTTATGACGTTCAAGAGTACTGACGCGGTGAAAACAAAATTCGCATACGACTCATTACACTGAATATCACGCATCAAGCATACTATCAGGAAGGTCAGATTCCTGAAAGCAACTTCAGAACGCCCGGAACCTACTGCTCCACCAAAAACTCAACTGGAAAGCCGGCAAGCATCCAGGCCAGTCAATCATTCAATCAATTCGGCAAAACCTGATGAGTGTTCTTGCTCGCAAAAGAAGCACGACCGAATGTGACCAGCGTTCAGGCTTTTCACAGAGGCACGATCGATGTTAATGGGTGTTCACTAACGCCTATCAGACAGCCTGGATCAGTGTCAGAAAGTCCCCTTTAAATAGCGTGGGGCCGTTGTAACTTTTGCTCGCGCTCTCGCACTTGCTTGTTCGGAATATAGCTATTGCGTTCCCTTCCGTGAGTCTTTTCTCTCCGACACTAGGCACTGGAGCGGATCAGCAGCAGATATCACAGACTGACGAATCAGCATATATAAAACATACACAGCCATACAAACAAGCAGACAGGGCGGTCTCCTCCTCCCAAATTCGTTACCACTAATTAAGAATTCCAAATCTAAAGAGCACACTTCGTCCTGGTTCCACTAACGTTGCTACTGGATCGACAAGCAAATACCAAGTGACCCTCCCCCGAAAAAAGAAACGGGTAAATTTCGGCAGCAATTCACAATAAGGACCAGCTCTTTTCGGAATAGGATGTTTGGCATGGCCACTGATTGCTGTTAGGTTAGGGTGGATAAGGATGCGCAAAAGCCACGATTATTTCTATTGGTTATGTCCGGTGCAAATTGCCGATACCATTCAATACATTGGTGGAGATCGGGTTATTTTCTGTTAAGATTTCATCCTATCAGTAAGATCAATCTGTGGTGAAAAGCCGAGCACCGTACAGCTGCGTCATCCTTAATCGGCACCAGCAGTGCGAATCCCACGAAACTCAGTTTTGAACCCGCGACTTTCTGGTCAGTGGTTGGGCAAGAAACCGTCCGGCCACTAGTGGCTGGAAGGCAGGTGTTAGCTCTCCCTTAGGATATTGCGTCACTTACCCTTCATTCGAGGAGTTCACATTCAAATGGAAATTTGAGTAAATGACTCGAGCTCCACTCAGTTGTTATAAAAAACTAATTGTTTGGACGAATCCTCTCCCATAAAGAAACCGTTTGGACCAGGTCCGAAGACGATTTCCGTTGAGGGGAGTATTGATACAAGGATACAGGACGTGACCAGCACAATACCACTAAAATGTCTCAATCAGCGAAAGATGCAAACTACGTGTCTAAATGAGTCACACAATCTGAGTGGGTCGAGAACTGAACAGGTGTGCCTCTACTCCACATAGCAATGAAGAGGGTGGGGGCTCTAACCCACAAACCTCTCGGTTATCATCCCCCACCTTAACTCCCGAGCCATACTGTGTCCATTGACACCCAAAAGTCCTATGCCAAAACATGCCTTATAGCTAGTAAGGTGACGAACTGTAGGTTAAAGGACCAAGCAGGTGATGAGAAACTCACCCGACAAATGCATATTTGAATAATATATTAGCGACTGAGCAAGCATGCGAACTATCAGACATTTCTTTCGACGGTCCACGAGATTATAACTGGTATTATCCCAAAGTAAACGAAACGAGTTGTACGACGGTGGCAGAAATAAACTTACAAGAGATACCGCATACAATCATCACAAAAAGGACCGCACGAGGTCCACGATGCGAGGTCAAACGACATGCTTGTGCGACGAGGGTCACTTCTGCCAAGAGGATTGCAATGAAACTGCACGTGGCAAAGGCCTGGCAAACTACAAACCAAGCTATGTAGATATAAAATAAATGACATGGCCCAACAAGAATTAAACTTACTCCGCCAGATTATAGGCCACAATGGTTTTACATGCCAGTCGTACAGTGAGAAGCAGCCATCGTACATGGCATTGCCCAAATCATCAGGCATAAACTTCTCCAAACATATTTCCCACAGACCCAAGCTCAAAAATCGATTTTTCGACTGCGGGAATCTTGCGTACCAATACGGAAGGATCAAAGCGAAAAAGCTACATAGAAGTCCGAATGTTGTACATGAGACGCACAGCCAAAATAAAGGACGTGATTGCTTTACATGCATTTCAAGTCTCTGGTTTGCATCAAGTCGGATTAAATCTGGCCAAGAAGTAAGCCAAGTCGCATGGGCATGCGTTCATTTCAAGCCGAAGATACCTGAGTAAAGATGACAGAGAACCATATAAGCTACATGGTAAAACCTAGCGTGCCTAGCCACGTTATACTTCTGTAAGCATAGTGTTTTAGCTGTGGCGACCTATCAGCGCATAACTGCTGTGCAACTGAGAGAAAAATTACCCTATTTTGAAAAGTTCGGAAGCATAAGGACACATAAAGGGTGGTAAACGTTCCCAAAGACCAAAGAATGAGGTGGAGTTTGGTTTGGCAACGGGTGGCAAAAACTTCATACGGGTGGCTTGAAGATTTAGAAGCTAAGAGAAATACGCGATCTCTCGCAGTAGGGGCAACCACGAACTGCATACATCGGCCGCCCCGTGGGTCAACAAAAAGGGTTACCTTACCCGCTGCATACAGCAGGGCGGGTGAGCGAAAACAGGCTGTTGCTGACGCCTCCCTTCTTTCGCATACTTTTTCCTCCCCTTGTCCCCACCCCATTGGTATCCCTCGTTATATGCCCAGCAGTTGGGACAGATGACTTCGTTCGTCCTCCATCGGTTTTGCAAGCAACATCTGCGCGCCATCCGGTGCCGGCATCCTCAAGGGTCTCGAAACCGATCCTCAAGTCCCGACGCCTTCAACGTCGGCACTCTGACAGGATAACGAACTGCTCTTGCTTTCACACGGGACTCGCTTGGCACTGGCAGAAACAAGAATTCAAGATGGATTGAGCTAACCGCCCAGTACACTCTATTCACTTCCGGCTGCGCACCTCTGGTGATGCAGAGGCTGCTGCGGCAGGGTGTGCGGGGGTTGGTATCATCCTGAGTCACCGGGCGGAATGATCTTCGCTTGACTGGATACCTGTTGATATTCGCCTGTGTGCAGTTTGTCTGGCAACGTCTGTTAAGGGGTCTCACAAGCGGGAAGTTAATCGATGTTTGCTTGTCGTGTCTTCTTACGCACCCAACCGACTGCAGCTCTGACACCACCAGAGACACGTCTTACGACGAAGGCCTCGAAGGCCTTCTGACAGTGAAACCACTAGCGGCAAGAATGGTTCCCTGATATCAGCAAAAAACATTTGAACAGCTGAGCACAATACCTCACAAAACAACTCAGTTGGCCACCTACCACCATCAATCCAAGCCGCCGACCTTCGACAGAAGGGTGGACTGTGAAAATGGAACCTACCCCTTAGCTTCAGAAGTGTCCAAGTGTATATCTCTACTCAAGCATCATTGTGCTCCTGGCCTTGACGACCTTTCACGTGTTGTATTAAAGGGTGGCGGCGAATAATAATAATAATAATCGACAGCATGATATCAGTGTTCAACACCAATGCTTCACTGCCCTACAACCATGATTTATATGAAAGCCTTATTATGAAGAAAAAGGGCTGATAAAAAAAGATCCAATAATCGTTCAGCTGTAACACGCTTTCGGTGCCTAGCTGCCATTCAACTCGAAGGAAGCACGAGAGCTCTAACCACCGAGCCATCTCACCCTTATTCAGGCCTACCTGGTCGAAAGAAACTGTCCCAGATAACTGAGAGGAGTCAATAATAGTGCTCATTTTCAAAGAGGGTGCTCGCAGTGGATGCGGTAACCACAGAAGTGTTAGTTTGACTCCCGGTCAACAGGGCTTCTGGCGTCACTGATTCTGTGCCTTTTTGACGGCACGCGATTACTTGAACCGTGAGAACAACGCGGGATTTCAACCGGGTAGATGCAGCGTCGACCACATCTTTACACTCAGTCACGTGTCGTGTGTATAAACGATCCACAATCTTGGTATTCCTTGGTTTCAAGGGTCATTTAATTTTCTTGATCGGTCAGTACCGTCAACCAGCTCAACAGAATATACCCCACAAGCTTGTAAACATAATCCGGTCCCTATATTCACATGCTTCTGAGCATGTGAGAATGTGAGAAAACTGCATCTCCCGTAAACCCGTGACCGGAAGTCCATGCAAGTAATACGGAGGAAGGTTCGCCGAATCATCCGTAGAAGGGCGGATGCTTTTTGGGCCGACTTTTCATGGTGCAGTGAGAAAGACATGTTTGGAGAGTCAGATACCTGAATTCTTTTTTATATCTATCCTTGTAATGTCTTCTCACTATGCACCGCAAAGGCGTTCGACGAGTCAACTCCAAATGACATAAGGACGCACTTTTGGTCATTAAGGGGAAGGCTCCAGTTAGTGTACAACCATTTGAAGGGCACTGGTATTGGAACTCGTCCGCAAAAAGTAGACATGTATTTGAAAGAACACCTGGGAGGTCGATGACGTAGCTTAGAAACAGAAGTGGTCCCAAAACGGAGCCTAGAGGAACTCCGATGGAGACTGGCGATGGAGAAGGGTAGGTCAAACCTACTCTCACTCGGAATCTTCTGTTTAATAGGAACGCTCAAATTCAGCGTGGAATTCCTTCACGAATCACTTGAACTTGATTTTGTGGAGCGGAAGAATGTGGTAAACTCAATCAAATGCTTTTGAGAAGCCGGAAAGTGTGGCGTCCTATAGGGGACCTCCGTTCATGGATTGAGCTGTCCATGAATACGGACACGCTCGTTACGCAGAACAGTTTGGGAGGTATGTGCTGCACCGGGGATATCAAGTTGTTGTTGGTGAGGTGATTTGAGGTGACCTGCTTTAGAGTGCGTTCTGTCACCTTGCACGGTATGCTAATGAGACTAATAGGCCTGTAGCTGTCATGTGATGGTCAGTCATCAGTTTTGTAAATCGGCGTGACAATCGCTTCCTTTCAAGTAGAGGGAACGACCGGCAAAACACCAGGTGGAAATGCTTTGCGAGTATTGGCGACGCTTTCCTCAGAATCCTTGGATGGATCTCGTCTGGACCCAATGCCCTGAAGGGGGTTATCTTGTGCAAGATTTGGCGAATGTCCTTCCTAGAGAAGAGCATGTTGGTTAGAGGCAGCTCATGGTTACGTCTTGACAAGATTGGATATGACGAGGTCCCTGGGGCAGAATACAGTCCTGCATAGTGTCCTCTTTAGTTCAGCTGTAGCAGCCCATCGGTGCCTAACTACCATGCCACCCGGAGGTTCCAAGAGGGATGGGACACTGTCAGGTTGCCCAAGCGTAGACAGGGGAAGCCGAGAGGCAGAGGTCGGGTTCGAACCACGGACCTTCCGGTACGCAAATTCGACCCCTAGCTACTTGGGCCATCTCGCCCTCTGTAGACCACAAACAGCACAACTGGGTCAGTTTTGACTTCCCAGTTTCTGAAAGAGAAGGCGGTTGGCTTGTTTCTCCAGCGGAGTCGCATGTACTTAAATGGTATATTTATGTTCTTCGGATGAGATCTAGTACCGTGGCTTGTTTTCGCGCATTCCGCTGATGGATTTTTTTTATTTACAGCAGTTCCGCACTTTACGAAAAGAAAGCTCGCCATCTGTGTCACTTGCAGGTACCTCTTGGAAGAATATATAGTGCTTTTTCCCCAAAAGACGACATCCCATCCGGCCCCACGTCCGAATATCGCGTCAGTCTCACGAATTTTCCGGACAGCTGTTTTCTATAACTCCTTCACTGGAGCTGGCCCGTTTTGATTGCTCAAGGGAGCTACTCATTTCTGGGAATTCTGCACGGCAAAAGTTCGAAGTCTGTGTGTGGTTCCAGACCTCTTTATAACGGCAGAGGAAATCAAACGTCAACTCACTGGTCACTGGGTTTCAGTGGAGCTTTAATTAACATTTGATCAACGAAGAGTCTTTCTTTGGTGACATCCAAATCCAGCAGGGATGGCAGTTGACCTGCGCGGTATCTAGTGGGTGCGGTGACATGCTGATTCCAAGCGTTATGTTGAATGACTTTGGTCAGCACAGAAGCAAAGTGTCCACTATATCAGATCATATCGATCATATACACCGGCGTATAAATCAATAATTCCAAAGTCATTCAAAGACCAAACTGCCTGGTTCTGTTATCAAGCAGAATCCCGCATCTTAACCTGTGTAGTATGTACGCTATGTAAGCTTTAGAAGCACCAGGGAACAGTGATTTTCCGAAGGCAGGTGTCCATGACGATTTTTGTGAATGGTAAAAAGGGAGATATTTTATGAGCCGCAGCCCGATAAGTAAGGTTGTACATCACCAATACTTACGAATAAATCAATTAAACTGGCGGACACCGTATATAACCCGTACTTACGTGCTGCCAAGACCAAAAGCCTCAACCAGCACGCGATTGGCCAGAGGAATGGGACACTTGCCGGCCCAACATAAAGGCAAGCACTGATGGCTAAGCAAACTATGGACCGAACAGCCTTCCAGGATTCAGTATCCTCTGGAAAATGGTTGACAATGCCGCGTCCTGAAGGCGTCAGAATCTCTGAAGTGTTGTTTCCTTATGCGAGTCGTATTAATATTAAATGCGATTATTTGTACTTTTGCAGTCGACCTACTTTGGGCGTTTGATACACGTTGTGTACCTTTGACAGTTCTTTCCTGGAAAAAGCTAGGTTGGAACGTTAAGGCCGGGAACCTAGTTGAGTCTTTGCTGTTATCACAGATCCTCAAAGTTATGCCCAGCTTCATTGGGAGTAAGACTGCACTATCATAGCCCCTGTGTGCTCGGGCTCGGTTGGTTCCCATCAGAAAGTAGGACGTTATCGAGTAATCAGTCCCGGAGAAGGTCTCCAAGGCCAACCCCACTGCCTCCTGCCTAGAAAGACGAAGTTCTAGGACACATGTTGATGGAATGGCTTCAGCGATATCTCACATCCCCTCACTGCCTCGTGTGTCAGACCGTTTAGTCAAATCGTCAAGTTTTGTTATCTCAAATAAACCTTGTCCATTGGCCAGTGCAAACGGTAGCACTTGACCTTACAGTCCACTTCTTTGTCCGACGGTCTACACGGTCTTGTATGGAGTGATGATGGTGGCTGTCCAGAGATTCGTTGGTTAGGATTTATCTGCACGGAAGCGCCGTACGCTAAGTTTTCAACGTCGCACGAAGCGTCTGCGTGCCGTATTCAGTTACCATTGTTGTCTTCAGAAGGGGCCACCGCCAGGGCATTGCACATCGTGTCTTGATAGTAGAGCAAAAATTTGACCTCGTTAGGCTTTTTAGCTGTCGAAAGTGTTACTCTGGAAATTCAGTGGAAATGCATTGTTCAAGTGAACACTTATCAAGTGGAATGATAGTCTGCCAAGTACTTGGCAACACATTTTGGTTCCAGGAATTTCATTGTAGGAAGATGCTATGTGTCGCAACGGTGTTAATGGTACCGAAGCCAAAAACTGCCAAAGAACCTCTCGTCAAAGTTCTCGCCTTTAAAATGACGATGATTCCTGGGTCTATGCAAAGCTTGGATGAGGTAGTCATCTCTCAATAAAATGCGTCTCAGAATCAATGCCGCAGTGACTTTGTTCGTTGGCTAAACCACAGTGTGGGTCATCATTAGCTCACCCGGTGTGACTGTTGGGGTTGCCGATACGGAACTTTGAGTGACGCGTAGGTTCGACAATCCCGAATATCAAAAGGTACAATCGCGTTCGTGATTCCAAGGTACTATTTACGCAAGGGTAAGCAAATGTGTACAACAAACCTCAATTGTTCACGTTCGTGGTGTCAACAAGTTTACAGGTGTGTCACTGACCGGCACAGTACAGTGTCAACGTCCGCACACAAACAACGGTGAGCGGGATGATGGCTCAGCAGCGTGGGTTGCGGTCGTTCCTTCTGACGACGTTCTCGTGATTCTCATTGGACGTGTGATCACGCGGAACCCATGGAAAAACAAGTCAAAGCAGGCTCAGCAAACGGGACATGAACGCACAGGGGTAAGCAGGTTAGCAGCGCACATTTACACACAGACACACATGTCAATACACAAGTGTCGGAAAGGACAGCCCCTGAAGCAACGTGTGTGGCCGGCACGAATAAGCGAAATAACTGGAGATCAAAAGTACATAGGTGGAGTAAGCAAATGAATGGGGGAATTATTATAAGGTCAAGTTAGATTCAACAGTGACTACTCCTGGAACCGGATAGAATAACGCATAGACGCAACTGGCCTCGGCCATCCAATAAAGCGGAAGGCGTTGGACTGGAAGGTGTCAGCCATTCCGATATCAACACAACAATTTAGCCTGCTGGAGACGAGCATGAAGTTTGCGGTAGATGGTGTTTAGCCGGAGAAGTTGTCATCAGCTGAGTTATACTACTTGAACCCTACATTCGGGTTTCTGTTGGGCAGGAAAAGTTCGTGGACAAAGTAACAAGATTGAGTGGGGCAAAACACCCTAAGCTCGCAGCGAAAGTGATGGAGTTGTGTGGTGCAATTAGTTACCTCCATGGTTGTTTGACACATGAGCTAACATCTAAGCGCTACGGTGGACGGACCGTCAGAGGACGGGTCGCGGAAAGCGGAAAAGGCAAAAAGAGAAAGGTATCAGAGGCCATCTGCTTTCGTCAATCCGTGGATAAGATGGCGTCGTTTATAATGCATGTGAGCTGAGATGCTGCCAAGTCGCATAAATCCGGGCGGGACGACCACAGACCAAAATCGCACCTCAAAAGCCTGACCGTGAAATTCAGGACAGTGATTACTTGGAGGGACAGCAATACCAGATTTCCCAGTAGATGATGGTATTGCCAGGCCCGCCCAACGGAGAGAGAATAAAAGTCCAGTTATGTAAAGTGTTTCAGTGGAGCTTGTGCGCTGGCGATATGCCCCGTCTGATTGTTTTGATTTTGATATCTGCTGATATTAGGTGGGGACAGCATAAGTTGTAGTGTGCACCCGCGTTCTGTCCTGCCTTACTAATTTCGTCTACCTCTGTTTTGTCTTAACATACGCCTCAACCACAATTTGAGGTTCACATTGCTGTAGCGGTTTGTCCTACGGTCCGCTTACCACCTCTCGATGGTTATCCGTGAAAAATAGGTTTGGATCACTCTCATGCTCATTGGTATGGTTTCCTGTCTCAAAGATCCGTTGGCGGCTGCCATATTCACTTCTTCGAGACCACCACAGCTGCCTACGACGCTGGATACTGCACTGTAACAGTTTACCTGGATATTCAAAAAAACCTTTGACCAGGTCCCCGATGCATCCCCACTGCATAAACTTAGTACCGTTGACATCCGTGGAACCTTACTTCATTGGTTCGCCTCCTACCTATCTGACAGGACTCAGACAACACAAATTGGAGACGTAGAATCATCCCCACTACGATCAAAAGTGGAGTCATCCAAAGAAGTGTTTCAGGCCCCATCCTCTTCTTACTGTACATCAACGGCATCTTCGGTGTCATATCCGATGTTAAAGTCTTCCTCTTCGCGCACGATATAAAAATTGCGTACACATTTCCCCCGTCTGCACGAGCCCATACGTTTCACCAGATTAATCAAGGCTTGGACTCGCTGACTCGCTGGTCAAACGACTCCGGCCTAAGCTTATCCTCCACGAAATCCTGCATAGCTTCCTCCCGCTGCTCCCTCTCGCCTGATGCTTTATTAATGAATGGAAATCCTATCACTCATTCCACGGATATCAAAGATCTTGGCCTCAGATACTCCTGCGCGTTTAACTTTTCCCACCAGCTGCAGTACCAGCTTGCCCGTGCACGCGGGCTCAGATTTTTAATACTGCGCTGCTGCCCCCTTCCAGACACGACGGTTGCAATCTTTAAGCAATGCGTACGACCAATCGTGGGATTCTGTCCCGTGTTCTCCTCTCTGTACACCCAAAGTTGCAGACTCGCAATTGAAAGCGTCCAACGCTCATTGACGGAAAATCTGTTCCCTCAATCAGACCCTCTCTCCCACCGCTCCCGCTGTGAAACCCAGGCCTCGAGCCAGCATAGCTTAGACGGTTTAAGATGAATCTAACTCTCCTACGCCGCTTGCTTCCCAAAAATGCCTTTTATAGCAGATGCTATTCCAAAGGTAGACACACGTCCTCGCCGCCGATTCCGTAACTCCTGCAACCTTTCGGTGTCCCACCTGCGTACAGGCATACGCCATTGCTTCTTTCTAGTTTACTACGCTCGCATCTGTAACAGCCTTCATAAACAGCTGCGAAACATCCCGTGTCACCATACTTTTCCTCAGTCCGCGGACAAATACCCTACCTGTGAAACTGCTACCGTCCTACTTAAAACCCAACTACTCCCCAACCCCTACATGGATTGAGTCCAGCGCACATTTGAGTACAGCGACGATAAAGTTAGTAGGCAAGCGAAAGATCCAGCTACCAGATCTTCCTTACTTCAAGCCACTGTAGAACTTAAAGGGTTGCTTGATCTAAGTATGTTGCGTTATTGGCCTGGCTGTTTATTTTTTCCCGACCAACTTATACATCGTTCTCGTAAAATCCCTACCATGGATTACTCTACCAGCTCTGTCTAGTGACTGGCGCTGTTGGCTCAGCTCTAACTGACAAAGACGAAACCCATGTCAGCTTTTTCTCGCTACTATAGCCGATGTATATACATCAAATCCATGTGGTGATTTGCTCCACAGCTCACTAAACACTCACACACAACATCGCGGTACGTTTTGCCCGCCATGTTACCTCACACCAACGCTCAGTCGACGTTTAGCCATAGTGCACGCCCTGAATACCACCATTCCGTCCCCACTCTCTCATCGACAACTGTCATTTCACTGCCTCCTTCGCCACTTGCCTCTACTAGCGTCTGTTTGCCATTTGCTTGTTCCAACTGGCTGAACTGATCTTACTGGCCTTGCTTCCCCCTCGGCCGGAAAAAACCGGTAGCTTGGATGGATTTCCACCTTGTAGATCTGGCAGCGTGCACGAGGGATGAGAACCTCGTGTGGTGGATGGGTACGCCCTTCAGGGATTGTCGCTCAGTTACGTTGCACCATGGTGCGTTCGTACATTCACCACCCCTTCAGTAGCACGGGTGCATCGCCCATCGCCATGGTTCTGAGCCTGGCCTTTCAAATTCGGCAAATGAAAAAAAGAGTACTGCCGTCTTCTGAGTGTTGCTGCTGGCGTTGACCTCGCCTCGGTTGAGTTATTTGGCGATGCCATAAACAATAACAATAACAAGAAAAACTGGCTTTTCGCCTGTCCAAAAGTATGTAAATAAAACAATATACCTGGGATAGCCGGAAGAAACTCTGAAGTGTCCGTGGCCTACGTCGACGTGCATAGCTGTAGCTGCCTTCGTCAATATCGAGGCTACACCGCACCAAAACCCAC